TTATTGTGACTAGTCAAACTCACTAAGTTTCATTAAGATGTATTTGCATGTATTTCTAGCGCATCAATTTAATTTGTAAATTTCATTTCAAAGTCTATATTAAAACTAGACTGTGGGCCTGACGCTCATCGGTAATTACAACTTTAGCCAAGCAACGAATTAGAAGTATAATATACAATACTTGCTCAGGTGTGTCAAGGCCAAGATGAATAGGTATGTGTTAACTTTAGTAGCTGAAATTAGTAGCTTTAAACATGCAATGTATAGTTAAGCAATGTCATATGTGGATGATCACTGTATGGATTTTCCTTTCCTTGGCACGATACATTGCAAAGTGCTACCTGTTGAAAATCAAATAGGGAAATTGTCCAGTTTAAAGAAGCAGCTTCATATGAGTGCACTGCAGATTCTAGAGATTGTCCATAATAGTAATTGTTGAAATGAAAAATTGAGATGCTTTATCATTTCTGACCCAATTTGCGGATTTGTTCGTCAATCTACAGCTCTTAACAAATCTAGCAAACAATCTAGCAGTTTGAAAAGAATTTTTGAAAATAGCATTTCTGCCAAGAAATTAACAACAACAAAAATCATAAAAAATTACTAAAAAAATCACTAAAAATAAAAAAGATAACTCCGCAATAAGACAAAACCGCAGAGAAAATATGATTTGGACAAATTAAGAGTTAAAAAAAATAATGAAAAATTCACTAAAATAGTAAATTGAAGATAATGTAACCACATCAACAGGTTACGGCGCGCTACTTGTTCAGCTTTTTTGAATTATAGACTTATAGACTGATTTACGAGCAAAAATAATGATGAAAAACTCACTAAAAATAGAAAATATTAGATACTGCTTTCACATCAACAGACTATATAGAGAACCAACGTAAGTACTCATAGAAGAATTAGCAAGAATGTCATTTTTTTCTTTTACCCAATTTGCAAAATTATAGTCTGATCTATGATCAAATTCCAATCTAATAAAGAAATACAAATCTCTGTCGCACAGGTTACTTTCACACCAAAAATCAAAGCTGATGGTCACTGCTTACATCTACGCCTATGCATTCTGTAAGTACCATGTATTAACTTTGAATAGTCAAAAATTT